GATATTGTTTGGGAACCTCATTGCAATGCGTGTAAGAACATTTAATGATACTGCGATTATAATCCCTACAATTATTATGCACTGCCTGCATTGCATTTCCCTGTAGTGATGTAATGCCAGACATGACGTAGGTAAGTGTTTTTTGTTTCAACTTTTGTTGAATAAGACAAATTTTGCAAGGACATACATTAGGAATCGAAAATCACATTTGGTGATAATGTATGCATGTGTGTAGTAGTGATGATACTCGTGAGAAATATTGGCTTAAGATATTTTTGTGTCTGGCTCATTGTACTGTAAAATATCATTTTAGGTATGACGTACACTTATGTTTTCCCATGCTCTTTGATTCATGTACAAATCCAGTTATGCCTAACCTCCAATCTCATTTTCATCTGCCCAATTCCATCGTAGGTGGAAGGTATATGCTGGAAATCAAGATCCCAGAAACGTATCCGTTTAACCCACCCAAAGTGAGTGAGCACATTGCACAATCACATCTAAACAACCAAAAAATTAGGTGTCCTTCAAAATGTTTTTTTCCCCATGGAATATATATTTTAACAAATATAGAATACAGCCATTCCTTGAACAGAAACGCTGTACTTTAGTACTATTTTGCTATCGAGGTATTTTATAGGGAGTTTCATTTGAGCCAAATTTTTCGTGCAATACTTTTTTAGTCCTAGGGCTTCAAGATCAAAAGGCAACACCAAAGGTAAAAGTTTCCATGGCTACTCCAAAGATATAAACCTTAAGATACTGTCAAACATTGTTGCCATGTGCTATAATACTGCAACCAGCAAGTGAAGCAATCTCCTGAGGGAAAACATTCTTATTGCTGAAATTGCATTCGTAGCATTGTTGATAAATATAATGTTACACTCAAAGAGATGGTGTCACATAGGCCATCTTTTCATAAGAGTTATTGAGCAGTTTTGTTTTGGTGTCGTGTAATTGGGTGAAATCATGTTTTCTTTGACTTGCAGGTCCGTTTTATCACCAAAATTTGGCACCCAAACATAAGTTCAGTAACCGGTGCAATTTGCTTGGACATTCTCAAAGACCAGTGGTGAGTTAGCCAGCAAACGTGAACACATACATCCAGTTGTTTCTGTGAATGTCAATAAATTTAAAAAAGTACTCTAATGCATTATTGTCTTATTAAAGTTTTAGCATTAAGTGTCAACTTGATGGACTGCAAAGGCAGTCTTGGTCATTAAAATTGCTGCTGCGCAAGGTGGATCAATTTATTTCTAAGCTTTGATACTTTGTATAGACGTATTATTATTGTTTTATTAAATATTCACGTAATTTTGCCAAATGCTTTGTTGTCATAAACCTGTGTTCTTTTACACGTGTAACATTTTTTGTTGAATGTAAATGCTTTTTAGTTGTTATGCAATACCCATTCGGTTGTGGCAATCTTTACAGAATATATATACAATCACAACCATATTTCCAGCGTGAGTCAAATAAGTCCCATCAGAACCTGTCCTGGGTAAAGTGACATGCAGATCCCAGTGGCCAGCAGCCACCCTGAATTCAGGGGTAATGATTCGGTAGAAGAGTCGTGCATACTCGCATCCATTTTGCCTACCAGTCCCTTACCCCCCTTTTGAGGGAGTCAACTGATACAGGCCACCGGGAATAGCATCCATGGAGCATTGCAACCGAGTGTACGTCTAAATGCACACACTGGTGTGCCATTGCACTCTTAATTTGCCTTTTCACGTGCATTTAATTTCCTTCTGAAAGCCACGTGCGCTGTTGGCTTGTGTTAAGTCAGCTTGCGTCGGTGTCAAAGGAGATGTCATTCCAGATTGTGTCGTGCACATCCACATGTAGCTGCCAAAGGGCAGCACCACTCCCCAACGAGTGTCTCCACCATGCCGACTTGTCATGCCTTGCGCGCACACGGCCAATGCTTGACTGTTGTGTGGGGCACAGGGCGGCCGCCATGACGCTGCGGACCGTGCTACTCTCCCTGCAGGCTCTGCTAGCTGCAGCCGAGCCCGACGACCCACAGGATGCCGTGGTGGCGCGGCAAGTAAGTGGCAGGGGCCGGGTCCCCCGCTGCGTGCGTTTTACATCCACCTTTTAACAAACCCGATGCGTCGCTAAAATGCGAAGTGAACGATGACAGGGTGGACCATTTTTAACCAATCGTCAAGCTATAAAAGCCAGCAGGGAAAGTGTTTATAAATACATGCAAAATGTTAGAAGTCATCGCTTTTGAGACTATTGAATGTACAAGACTGGGTGTAGCCCCTTAAAATTGTAAGATGCCTTGGCCAATAGGTTAGATTTTTTTCTAATTCCCTGCTATGTGGTTATACACATCAGTTGCTTTTGACACATTTCCAAGTAACTGGCTGCATGGTCATTACAATTTCTACACTTGCAGATCCAGCTACAAACTCAAGATAGAGTATTCTTTCCCCACCATGTACTCTACTGTGCTCATGAGCAAGTGTAAAAAAATGTTTAGACTTAAAAAAATTTCCCGACCACCATCAAGCAGCCATATGTGGGCATGTGTAAGGCTTAAGCTACATGACATGTACAGTGCTTGAGGATTAATGTAAGAGATGGCTTACAATTTCAAGGCCTCATGCAGATAACAGACGAGGGTCACTGATTTCATTTTCAACACAATGTACGAAGTGATTTGGCATTGGGCAGAAGGGCACGTGGACACACCTGGCTTTATTAACCCCGCCGCCTTTTCTGTTTGTTACCACAGTACAAAGAAAACCATGAGATGTTTGTGCAAACAGCCAGACTGTGGGCGCATATGTATGCCGGGGCACCTGCCTACAATGGAGAATATCAGCGTAAAATCGACCATTTATGTGCCATGGGCTTCGACAGGGTGAGCACAAGCTTCAGAGCCATTTCACGCACATTACCCATTGCTCTCAATATTTTCACTTTACTGCTGTCTCACTTGAAGATTTAAAATGCTCAATATAGTTTGACTTTGAGGACCATCATGTGTGTTCATATTTTCATTGTTTTTTCCCTTCCTGTAAACAGAACGGAGTGATAGCGGCATTGTCTTCACATGGCTGGGATGTGGAGAGGGCAACAGAGCAACTCCTAAGTAACTAATAACACTATCCCCACTTCACCACCCAGCAAGCTTGGGTCAGGACCATACAAAAAATATTACACATGCCTTACCCTTAAATCAATGCAGAAGCGAATGGTAAAGGCTTTACAAATAATTACCCTTGTGGTCTTGCACCAGTTTATTGTATTTATCATGGTTTTTGCCCCCCCATAGAATTTGTAAAAAAAATATATTTTTTTTTATGAGTTGTGCATTTCCACTGCTGCTTTAGGACGAGCGTCTGGAGTGTTTGTGGCAATCTGCATGACAGCGAGTACAACCTGCAGTCACCTTGAGTTGCATGCTGTGGGGCATTTCTGCAGCAGATATTAAATTACATTGAGACGTGGTTTAAATTTATGGTTTCTTCATTTCCATTAAGGTTAATAAAAATTACAAAAAAATTAATTGCTGGTGGAAATAAAGTGGTGGAAATTATATCAGTTAAATGTCTTTTGAAATTGGTGCATTTGTTAGGGCAAAGTGGCAAATGTTTGCTTTCGGCTGGAGTGCTGTACAAACACTATCCTTTTGATAACTGATTAAGTCTTTGTATTACATGAAAAAGGTTAGCTTGCCCCGGTTGTGTGCATCTGTTAAGACTACATTGTGTACTAGCCTGGTGTAAAAATCACATCTCAAGTCGGTAATAACCCTGGGAGTGATGCCAATTTTGGCCAGTCTCCTTTATTAAATATTCCCTGTGTTCACCTCTGAAGACCTGCTAAGTCTGCTGCACATACCAGTATGTAAATAAGAGAGAATGCAACCTAGATGGAGATGAGTCAATTGAACAAGAACATGCTAAACAAGGCTGTTGACTTTTTAAGTTGAAATAAAATTTCAATACGTGTGGAATTAAATTTCTTTTCTCCCTTGATGTAAACCCCACTCCCTGGTAATATTGACAATGGTTTATGCTTTGTTAATGTGGCTTAATGTTTAATAGCTTTTAAAGAGATGTAAAATATACATTTGGTAAAGTTGTAAAAATGGTTATCTTCCAATATTGGGTGAAATGTGGGAAAGATCATGAATACAAGTCCTCAGTCGTGCAAAGTTGACAACTTTATAAACTGCCAGAAAAAGGAGTTTTGATGAAAGTATCAAAATTCTGTACTGCTATTTAGGTTTGTACATATTGATCAGTGGATATGAGGGATCAATGTATATGCAGACAATTTTCAGAGATAGTTGCCTAGAAAGATGGAATGAAACTATTGGGCAGTTGCATTTTTAAAATATAGTACAAGTGCAATTTTACATATCCACTGTAGCAGCTGTGCTTTTGTTTAAAACCATTGGCTCTAAGTAACTCATTAAGTTCCACAGTGGTTAATTTTATTGCAATAGCACCTGTCCACTTGAAATTTAGCTTCAAAGAAAGCATCACATTTGGACACTATGGAAACCTATTTTAAAAAACCACAGTATTAAATGTCCCTTAAACATGTGGCCATACACTACTGAGATTTGAATACCCTTACTCACCCCAAGCATGCATGTTAACAGCAAGCAAACTAAATGAGTGTTACGGGCCAACTGTACCAAGAATTCTTGTTTTCAAGTAGAGTAAAGGCTTTTGACAATGTTTCTAATAAAACCTAAGTTATGCATTGCACAAAAGTGTCTCTTATTTAAAGTGAAAGCTATGGACCACTGATACTGCCATGGTCAGGCTGCTCTTTATTCTAAACCCATGCTGTAGTAAGTTTGCCCAGTTATTTTTGAAAAGTATATTTTTTTCTCCTAGCAAACCGTTCAACATTAGAGAATAGCAACAAAAGGTGTCCTCTGGTACAAATTGTACTAAAAATTCTAACTTATGCACCAAACGATGCAACCAATTTGTTGGAGGGGAGGAAATTAGCCGGTACTAAAACAATATGTAACAAAGATTTTATTTTATTACAAGGAAGCGACAGCTACAGATAAAACTCCCAACAGGCAACATTTTGTAAATGTTTACAAGCCAAACAAATCCCAAGCAATTAACCAGTTGCTTGACCAGCTCTTGATCCCAAAATGTTTTTTTACGTACTGGTGATCTGAATTAACGTTTAAGACAGTGGCTGTCGCAAACACATTAAAGCAGACTTCATTAAAAGCTTTATTAGCACAACTTCCTACACAGCCTCCACAGTTTTTGTTTTATTTTTATTTTTTTTATAAAGCAATGACTAGTGATCTACAACACAGTGCTTCTACACCAAGGGCAATGTGGTCAAGTCTTCATTGAAACAGAGCAAATAAGTTTGCTGGGGAGTAGCGTGGAGGTGGATAACATTTCCTATCAAGTTCATAATAATCAATAAGTCAAATTTTATCTGGGTTCCAACTATTTACAGACATCCACCGAAAAGAGTAAGTTAAAATATGTTGGCAATCATAAAGCCATGAATGGGGTTGATGCATTGCCAATAGAGATATAGGAATACTTCCTGGCTGGGCAGGTCTTAAATGCAGGGTGTGGTTGTCACAGATTGGACAGAAAAAGGGTTCAAGTGATGATTTTTGAATCAACAGCGTGGGCTGTTCAAAATAAAATATGTAAACCCCATGAAGGCGATGGCATCTATCTGCGGCTCCGTTTGTTGCTTGGCTTGCGTTTCACCTGGAAAGAGGCAAATAAACAAAACATTTTAAAGCAAGAAGACTGGATAAGTATATTAAGTATATATTATTCCATATACAAAGCATGCTACATAGTCAAATAATTGTGCACAATTTCATTTACCAGCATTATTTGAAGGGACACTGATCTGTAATTCTATAACTGTTAACATGCAGAATGTTTACAATAAAAATATATATTAACCAATAACAGCAACACTGAGTAAAAGCTTATGACCAAATCTCCCAGAATGCATCTGATCTTGGGACATTGGATGCTAAGTTTGAGCCTGGATAGAGTCCAGGGATGGGTAATCACCATGCATAAAACAGGTTGTTATAGATTTCAGGGCGACAAAGTGGGTAGCCAATGCTATTTCAGAAAATACAGTGTTGTATTGCACTGCTATATTCCTACACCTATCCGTTCAGTCTTCAGCCCGCACTAGGTATTGTGGTGAAACGTGGTTAGGGCTGCCGACCCACATACCGAGGGAAAGAGGCCCTCGCCCAGAAGTAGATTGACATACACATGCACACAGTAATAGGCACAAGCCACACTCTCCTCTCCTCCCTTGCTGCAGATGTAAACTACGAATGCAGCTTTACACGATAATTTTCTGCCCAGCCGGTTTTTAAAGTGACCCAACCCATGCTTTTGGCATGAGAGATTCAGGAAGTAGGTCAGACCTCAGTTTAAAAATGTATATACGGAGCATGAACAGTAGCAGACTACATGAATGTATGATTTAATTATTTTTGTTAATGTCAAACTGGCCAGTTATAAAAGATGGTCTGGGCACATGTTTATCCTGATTATAAGAAATAGGTGGTGCTCTTGCACTCGGTTAGAGATACAGAAATCCAGATAAGCAGGCAATAACATGCCAAAGCAAGTTTACAGAATTGGTTTTAGTGTCATGCCTGCAATCGAGCACTTTTGAAGAAATTATTGGTGGACCATAACACCATACCAAACCCACTGGTTTGCAAGGTACTGCCACAAGATGGCAGTACAGCAAGTTGGTGAAACATGTGCAGACATGTTATCCTCTCATATGTGGGTTATCTCGAAAGAACTAGTTTTCTCCTACACAATGCAAAACTCTTTTTCCATTACAATATAATTAGTCAAACTCCCAATGCAGGAACCTTGTGACTTAAAAATAATTTAGGTTTCCCTCGTAAATACGTTAAAAGAAATGGGTTTTGAGGCTCACGAGACAGCAATGAATGATAATGTAAGCTTCATTCCCATGTATGGTGATAAGCAGGTTTGGGGGATTATGGAATAGGGCGAGGGTCCACCAACTGGCGCAGAAATTTTCAGACCAACAGCATTTTGCACTACAGCAGGTCAAAACGTTACCTTTAGAGTCTCTGTGGCTTCCTCGTCAGCATCCTCATCATCCTCGGCCTCCATGGCCTCTGGCTCCACGGATGTATCCTCGGTGTGCGATGATTTCTCCACGTCGTTGGTCTCAAGGGAACTGCTCTGAGACTCCTGCATCGATTCGCCTTCACTGCCCAGCACAAGCTGTTCTCTGCACACAGGCCGGCACAAGCACATTTTCAAGTTTGGTAAAAGAAAAATTTACTGGCAACAGTTTTCTGGCAATGTTGCTTTATCCAAAGGGAAGGAAGTACTTCGTAAAAATGTAAATGGCTTTGTGTTACCAGCTAAATAAACTGACATTCAGGGAGAGTGGTAGGTAGGGTGGCAGAAAGCACAAGGATTCAAAGAATGCGAGATGTGTCACAATGCAAACCCAAAATAAGCACGATTCAAATATTCAATTCCATAAAAAAACTAAAATTGTAAATACCCAGATTTCACAGTTCTGATCATTAAATCCAGCCAATTGTACTGCAGAGTCCAAATTACTTACTTGTCAGATGGGGTGTTTTTGGTTATCTTTTTGGAGACGTTACGGCGCTTTGTGTTCGAAGCCTCCTCGGCAGATTCATGGGAATCGGCTCTGTGCAGTCATAAAAAAACCCTCACAAATATACCGCAAGGAGCTGCGCTAACACAACTGTTGAGGGTGGCATGTTAACTGCAATATTTAATAATTCCTTGGGGATATAGGTGCGATATTAATACCAATGGAGTGGCTTTTTAATAACAGCACATTAAAAATATAATATTTAGATTTATACGGTGCCCTTAATGGATCTCAGAGTGTCATATGCACATTTAAAGACATCACAGCGGTTATGCCGCCAGTGAAAGTCAAAATTTATTTCGTAAGCTAACACCTATCACTCGGCCAACTAAACTTACAATCAACCTATATAAGACTGGAGAAAAAAACGCGATCTTAATTTAACAGATATGACAACTAATGAGACACTGCTCTACAGCGACAAATGAGAAAAACACTTGAACAAACGTCCAAGGCATTGGCGAGTGATGGATGGGCGATGCTGGGACGGTGAGGTGGATGTATTATGATGGTATTTATGCATCACTCACTCATCTTCCTCGTCCTTTTTCATGGCTTTGCTTCTCTTGTTCCCCTTGGGAGGCGCCGGTGATGAGTCAGCATCCGAACCATTGGCTGCCTTCTTACGGCCTCTCTTTCCTGGCTTAGCCGTCTCCTCTGTTGGCGGTGTTGCCGTTGCAGCGGTTGCAGCGGCTGCCGTCCTTCCTCCTCGGCCACGGGCTGCTTTCTTCCCAGCTGCTGAAGCCCCCTGTTGGGACTCGTCTTCGTCATCCTCTCCGCGTTTCTTTCCCCGGCGGTTCTGCTTCGTTTGTTGCAGCGCCGGTGAAGAGGCGTCCGAATCCACTTGGCTCTCGTCCCGTACAACAGATGTGTCCCCGCTGCTGCTGCCGCTTCCTCCAGCCACCTCTGGCTGCACCGACTTCTTGCGACCCTTGACCTTCTCAGCCTCAGCCTGCCAAGCATGAAAAAGCAACTGTTTGTAGTTGCCTCCTCCATGACCACTAGTGCTGGAGGATGTGACATGGCCGAACCGTAGCATATTTGCCGTTTGTTGCAGGGGTTCACAGTTCAAGCCCATTGACCGCTAGGGTTTTTTTTAGTTTTGCTGGCTGGCTTCCTCGATTCCTGGCTGGCTCTTATAACATCACTCGCATCCCACAGGGTTGAGTCGGGTTCATGTGTGCTGACGTCAAGCCCCACCTACCCTCCACCCCGACCATGGATGATACACTATCATACTATCATATACTATATTCGTCAGCTAGCCGTCCAGGGGAGCGGAGGTGGCAGGGAAAGTGGGGAGAGGGTGTGCGGGCTGCTAGTATAAACCAAAAATGCGCGTCGTCGGCTTCGCAGGAGACACTAAAGATTCCATATCGCTATTCGAAAACAATAGACCACCGACGCCACGTTCCAAATAAAATATACTTGAAAATTATAGAACATTTTCTAGTTGGGTAAAGCCACGTAGCAACATTGGTCATATGTCAAACAAAGTGCATTCGTGACAGCCTTGCATTATAACAATTGCACGAATACTAAAATTACGATGAGGTCAGTGTGAGATACACCAAGTACAGACATCTTATGAACTTCAAAAATAAACTTAAAGAACATCCAGTTTTCATTAAAAGGAGTTGTTTTTTTGCATAATATAGCTTTTTTTGGATTAATATCCATTAAGCAAGCCAGACGAAAACTATGAACGTGAAATACTCAATGCGCACTTTTAATAATTTTTCCATGAGTATGATCAAACGTTAACAGGTGGATAAACAAATACATTCATTAGATATTTGGGTGTACGACTGGTGCATTATTAAGAATGGAGGACAAAAGGAAGGATGATGACCATACTCGGCAGCTTAATTTGAAGGAATATGCAACATGATAAAACAAACGGCTGTTTAACTTGTGAAACTAATTTAAACTGTAATGCTCAGACTGTTCATGTGAAAATGGACTTTAAAGTGATAGTCAAGGTTACACAACACACCTTTGCGACCTCCGCTTCGTCCTTCCTCCGCTCCGGCTTCTTGGTGGCCGGGCCAGATGGCTTTCCTGCTATGCTGTCGTCATTCTCGCTGTGATCAATTTCCGAGCTCTCTGACCCCATGCGCGTCCTGTACGTGACAACGACAATAATCAACAAGAGCAGCACTCAATAGCCGAGTATGCACATAAACAAACGTGTCATAAACAAACAAACATTGCTACTAATGCATTAACTGCAGCAGAAAATAAAAACTTGGGAGGCTAAGAATTGTTTTCAATTATTTTGGTTAGAATGATCAGATATTGTTAAACTTTGAACATCATTTTTGGCAAATTAAATTAAAACCCAAACAGTATCTGTGATGCACTCATTTAAAATACAACAGCAACCAACACAATCATGAGCAGAAATAAATAAAATCACATGTATTATTCCTTTCATTCGAATCCTCTTTTGGCGGCAAATCCTTGAAACACCACGCATATGTACACAAGAATAATTATGGAGGGCTGTGTGCCCTCACTAATGTTGCTGCGTTCACATGTACTGCTCACACTACCCTAGCATAGGCCTCCTTTACATTCTTGACAAGTGGTCGAGTGACACGACCTGTCAATGTTGGAAGGTGGCAGGGAGGGGGGAAGTTTAAGGCGGTGGTGCCCAGAAGCCGATTCCTCACCTGGGCTTGCCCCGGCCGGGAGAGCTGGGCGCCGAGTTGCTGCTGTCGTTACTCATGGTCTCCATACGCGATGACTTGGTCTGCGCCTGCTTGCCGGCAGTCGCCAGTGGTTTGTTTACCGTGCCCAGTACCGTTGGTGCTTTGGCCTGCGGCAAAAGAACAGCAGTTCCTTTATGTAAAACATTAATTTCTGAATGCAAGTGAACAACCCATTCAGGTAGCATGGGATTTTTATCCGAGACAGTGTATGCCCGAGCGCTTACGCATAACTGGTGTGGATAAAGGGAATTTGGGTTGGCATACTGCGTTTTTTTGTGTTCTCCTTTTAAATGAGAAAATGAATGATTACACTTCGAACGTTATACTCGGCATGTGGGAATATAGGACGTGCGAGCAGTAACTTCTCTGGAGCAACAGCACATATGATTTATAGCACACGTCACAAGCCGCAGGCGGACAAACATGAGCTGGAACAACCAAGGACATGAAGGCAAGGACAATTACGAAGGGACAGTTAACCTTGCTTTTTTTCCCTTAAGAGATTTTCTTTAAAATCATAGCAGAATCCCTTTTAATGTTTTGTTGCATGCCTATAAATTTCCTCTTGCCTCAGCAGTCCGCCTGCTGTATTGTTTCACCTGAGGACGATGGCTTGTGTTATCTATTATTTTTCTACCTACGTGACTTTACCGAAAGACCCAAAGAGTATGCCTATAAATGTTACGCTTTTCTTGTATAGATTTGTAATTTTATGGATTTTAATTAAGTTGGCGCTTTGCCAGTGTAATCAGAATAATTAATTTCACAATAACCTTTGAATCTACCAGTTATAATTATTTTATTAAGGTAATTAAAAAGTTTTTAAGTTATTAATTGTAAACAAATATGCAGTTTTTTTCAACCTTCACTTGAATCGAAAATACATTAAATTGTTACCTTTCCTGGAGAAAACAATGCTTTGACTTCTTCGGGCAGGTAACACTTGGTATTGTTAAAATTCTGTAACAAAACATGAAACGACCATCACATCACAGATTTATAGTTTATTATCCACCTTGAGTGAAAGCATACCACTTTATTCATCAAGCCAATGATGACCTGCATTCATTGAGCACATCAAAGGTATGCCAAAAAATAACACTGACCACTTAATTTAACCTGGCTGTTTTTTTTTTCCTGGGATGTGATTTTCCTGACCTTATCTGGTTGCGTGAAGAACTTTGTGGGAAGCACAGGATTCTTGGGAGACTCCAGGCTGTAAGTTGTGCTCTTGTTGGTGATGATGTGCAGTGCTATGTCGCACACGGTGTACATTTTCTGTAATGACGCAACATCACAAGTACTCAATTTGAATATTCCAAACTAGAATAGACGTTTTTTTTTAGTCAGGGTTGTCAGGTAAACAGAACGTGCCAATTCGTCACTAGTACAGCACACCGGTGTGTTGGAGAGCCAAGCCACAACATTTACAATCTGAGTGGCTTGACTCTCCAACACACCGGTTTGCTGTACTAGTGACGAATTGGCATGTTCTGTTTACGCGACTGTGTTGGGTGGTGGCGGGTTTTAACTGACACATTTATATATTTACGCGATCTACAACCAAAAAAACTCTATTATGAATATTGGTCGCGAAAGCCTACGTGTTAAACATTCCCAACCAGCACCGTCATTAAAACAGACAACCATACAGCAGACTAATGGCTTTGACAATGGCACTTGTTCAAAGCAACAATAATTCAGACAAACAGCCCTCTAATTAAAATCTGTAAACCAAAAGAAATCTATCACAGCAGAAAAACCCACTTTAAGAAATTAAGAATATCAAATTTTGTGTCAAGAGTGCCTGGCACATGCAGCATAGGTATGCATCTGCAAGAGCCACAAAACATCGACCTTCATGGTTTTGACGATGCACGAATAATAATTTAATGTGGTATGATGCTTTATAATGCATAGGCTTAATGCACCATGCTTTGGAGTAATTCTTAATAACACTAATCACGATTTATAATGCGCACATATTTCAAAAATCGGACAAGAAGTTCGATTAAACACGCACTATGCGATGTTATTCAATATTATTTTTGGGTCAGTGTTCCCATGGGGCTGGCAGGTTGCATAATTTGACGCGTGAGACTTCAAAAAAGAGACCTCATTCATCTTGGGATCGTCTGGACCCTGCGCATCCTTGGCCTGCTTGATGTTCTCCACCATCTTTCGAATGTAAGCGTGGCTGTTGTTCTCATCCTTGGTCATGAGAACCTCCAGGATGAACCACAGACACCTGGCCATTCGTCGCAAGGATGACACAAGAGGATTTGGTTACAACAGAAATAGCAGCAGCGCGCTTCTCAGTAATTAAATACGACACCCACGATTCCCATTTGCAATAATACCGGAGGACTTATGATGAATGCACATTCTACATTAGCATTTTACATTTCCGAAAACGCGCACACAGAATAAAAACATGGTCTGCACAATTCACGGGATTACATTGATAAAATGCAATGAAAGCACAATTACAATAATTCGTCTTGGTTTTAAAGATCCATTTTTAGGTGGAACTCAATTTTTATCGTAGCCTATTTAACACTATGCCAAATAAATAAAATGATCAAACATCTATTTGATATACCAAAATTCAGTAAAAAAACTGTTTAGTAATCCTTTGGTTCAGTGCCCATTGAACACAATCCTAATAAACAATGCTTTAGTGACAAAAATGCATGCTAAGAGAACAAACAAAATTAGCTTTGTAGCAAGGCAATAGTGCATTACAGGCCATCAGACGTATGCCGCAGGTTGAAGACAGTTTCTAAAAACGTGTTAAGAAAAAAATTAAGTACTCACTCCCTGATGTCCTTGAGTTGCTCCACGTCCTGCACTTTGGTGAAGTCTGGGTCGTGCGCCAGTAGGTGGATTGTGTAGGGTACCATGTACTCCGGCAGTAGGGACAGTAGCTTGTCTGGCGGGATTTAAGAAAAGCAGACACAAAAATAAGGCAAGGTGCGGTCACTGGATGATTCACGCTCATTAGGCCAAAAAGAAATGAACCCTTGCAACACATTATTTCTGAGTCTGTGAAGTTTTTGAGAGGCCTCGGATTGCCTGGCCCAATATTCTGCTATCTTTTTACGATGTAGTACAATTATGGGGTGGTGTATGTTGGCATCATGATTACGAGTACATGTGCTGCAGCAATCACTCATGCAATAAAAAATCTAAAGAAAAAACAACATGACTGGAGATTCATAATAAAGGCTTTTGGGTGAGATCGCGTAAGTATAAATGTGTCGCAACCCTCCACCACCCCACACGGCCAATCAGTAAAAAATGTGTCGCGTTAACAAAACGCCAATTAGTTACTTCTTCAGCCCACTGGTGTGTTTGAAGAGTGAATCGACAAAACTTAGAATTTGAGTACGACGTTTCGCTGGTAATTACATCCGGCATCTTCGGGCGATTTGCCAGAATAGTGAAGCCATCCACCTGCTTCCCGTCTTAAATAGTGCAGGACAACGTCATCATTGAACCTCATCAGGTTTCGAGATCAGACGCGGATGTGGGAGGGTATTGTAATTATATAATAGATTAGTCATCAGTTAATTAGTATGTGATTCCTCTATAAGGAAATGTAATATGTATTGTGTATTACTCAATAATACGCTTCCAGGCTGTGCTAAGTCTGTAGCTATCAGAGCGGTTAACATTATTGGTATTTCTCTCAATTTCGATAGATTATCTAATTAGTCTTGGCCAGTAATAATTAGTTTTGCATAACACTTCAACGTTATGAAAATCAATTGAGTGACCCTTGTTGGCAAGCATGTTCTGCAATTCAAAACATTAAGGCAAGATTTGGTATGGTACCCAAAATAAAAAAAACTAGTGTCTTGTACTAAAGATGAATTACCTAAGTTATCGACAGAAGGTGGTGGAGGGTTGCGACACATTTATACTTACAAGATCTAACCCAAAAGCCTTTATTATGAATAATACTGGTCGCGTCAGCCTACGTGTTAAAATGACTGGAGATATTTTACAGTGGGTTAATAAATTATCCATTTCTCTCCATGGACACAAATAAATCAATGTAGTATTTCAAATTTAATAATGAAAAGTGCATTAATTATTTTGTAATTGAAAAAATAAATGGAGAAGTGAATTTTCGTTTGCATTTTGTGTTTTTTTATTTATTGCCTTGGCCATTTCTCAAAATCTAGAAACGTGACATGAAAATTACATTCACACTTGAAGAGATAAAGCTAGGGGACTAAATATCTTTACCGCTAAGGGACACGTGAAAACAAATAAAAATACAACTGATAATATACAGGCAATTTACTTCAAGGAAATAAAAAAATGTATGCTTACAATATTTAAGTTTTAAAAGCCATATTCCACATTATACTTATCGGTTTGCTAAGGGGATGCTTTTTGGCTTACTGTAGCAGTAAAGAATATTTGTTTTAACTGTAATTTAACTTTGTAAATGATCCATCAGTAGACTAATGTTTGTCATGCAAGGTTATAATGAATGCATTTTTTTTACCGTGGTACAGCCAGCCAAGTTGCTTATGAATAGCCTATGTTCTTATTTATGAGTAAAGGCACAGGCTGTACTAACATGTTCCAGTTGCACTGACCTACAATTGGGACAAGAAATTCCTTTCTAAATTACACCACATAAACATAACGACCTTTAATTTCCACCACAATTAACATAATGTTGCAAGTTAAAAATCCTTAAAAAACTATTTATAATCTTAAACATCCAAGCAGTCTCTGTGAAGAGCTTTCCAAAAATGTGTGCAAGGCTTGCGCTGACTTGAAATGGATATTAGGAGAAAAAAAATCTACATACCAAGCCATGCTCAACATGTGATTGCACAGAGCTACTGGACATTTTGACAAACACATTACTCTGAATAAGCCCACATTCTGAATTTAACTTTACAGCCTAGCTGTGTCAGGTATAGTAAAGGCATTAACGGGAGGTTTTCTGCAAAAAATCAGATCGTATCGAAAACCGCAAGTCTAGTTAAGTGCTTTGAAAACACTGCAATATCTCAGGAGCCACAGTATAAAGCAATTCACAATGGCATACGAAATGCATAATACAACACCAATAAATTAATTCACTTAACTTATTTTCAAGTGCATTATTCCTTGATTGGCAAAGGTAGTTTAGCAAGGGATCGTTGACAATTATTAACAATTTCAAAAGTGTACACAGGCAAATTGCCACGAGATCTCATGAATTGTCATGATTAGGAGTCATGATCTTGATTCAAAGCTTTCGTGACTGCAGGAATCCATACTCTTTGGTTCTTTCGTTAAAGTCACGTAGTTAGAAATAAATTAAAATAAAACAAATCACGACAATTCGATTGCATGTGTTACTTGTGTTGCAATCGAAACGTCGTGATTTGTTTTATTTTAATTTATTTCTAACTACGTGACTTTACCGAAAGAACCAAAGAGTCAGGAGTCATGATACAATGCAGAAGTCAATGCTTTTACTGCTAATGTGGTAAATGTCGAGACTCGAGAGGCTGCAGATTTAAAAAAAGAAGACATAACATACACAAAAAAACATCAATCCTTACATGGGCAACTCAATGCACTTATCGTGCATATAAAAATCAATTTTAATCCCACGTATAAGTTTGTGATAGCTTCAATCGTAGTGCGACTACTTCCAGTCTAGATCGTTATCCCTCTAATTTGTCATTTAAAATGTTGATTCTCAGAGGAAGTGCTTTTAAAAATAATACATAATTTCTAATGGGCAATTCTAACAAATTAGTAAACTCCAAATAAATTGTCAAATGCCTCCCAAAAATAGATACGGGTTGTAATTTTGAAGGCAATTATCTATAGTTTTGGAATGGTTGGCTTATTTATAGATGAAGTCAAACATTCAAATGAATGGGCCATCACATTCCAGCATGGATTAAAAAATTATTTTTTCAGAGTACATCCACCATGATGGAATTTCAAGAGCATTTCCCCCTTATCAAGAAATGTGGACAAATTATTTCCATCTGATTTACAGCTCGCAAGCTGTATGCAGCTCCCAGGTAGATGTATGCAGCTCCCAAGTGTGGCTTCGAGATACAGTATTCTTTTTACTTTTCAAAATAACTTTACTTGAAACAGGAAAATCTGCAGAACCAACGGCGATCCAGGGCGCCGGTGGTAGCACGGCCAGACATGAGTACCCCTGGAACGCTCCTGCCGATTTATAAATTCAAAACTCCATGGCGAACCAGCGCGAGCAAACTGACCAAGTAGCCACCGCAAATGTTTCTGTCTTGTGACTCTCGCCCATATGAACATTCTAATACATGTTTCGTTGGGTCGGAAAATGTGGCCACCCCTTTGCTATTCCCATGTAAACAAGCTACTTCATAATTATACTGATGACCAAAATCTATAAAGTGTCTGAAACGTTTGCCCAAGTCACAGAACTGCCCGAATGTTTACCAGTCATTGATAGGCCCCTGTGATGCCAAAATTACAAAACCGCTGTAAACAGAACAAGGATTCATAACGGATTAAAAATTTTTTTATAGTTGAAGCTATTTCAGATGAGTAATCCCAGGGCGCTCCAGCAAGTTTCTAAATTCAAAACTCGACAGCCAACAAAAGCACGAGCCAACCAGCCGCGTGACCACCCCACATGACGTATATCTTGTGCTTCTCGGCAAGATGAACAGACAGATGAAACCCTGCGTCCTGACTGAAGCCTGAGCCTGTACAAGCAGTGCTGTTGTTGGCAGACACGTAAACACGCAGGCCTCACCTCCAACGGTGGCGTGCTGCTTCAGGTACTCCCGGCGCAGAGTGATGTTCTTGACGAGGCACTGGCGGGCGTGGGCGCGCCTCTCCTTCACAGGGTCCTTGGCCGTCAGCGAGAAGACAGCCACGTACTCCAAGGGCAGGCGCAGTTTCGTCAGGGCCTTGTGCAGCTTCTGGGCGAACACCTGTCGCACCTGGAAGCACTCGTCCTGTGCACAGTACATAGTGAACGTGCACGCATTAGGCAGGCTCGCACACGTGAGGGTCACACTGGTATTTGCTTGCACATGGGCAGTGAATTGTGAAATGTGGCAAATCCGCATCACTCGGTCCCGACACCATAGATGTGGTGGTGGCAAGGCTGAGTGGCTTTTGGTATTCGATAACTTTTTTCCTTCGCAAGCTTTTGCCTTGCGAGACGAGCCTTTCTTTTTTACTTATTTAAATGAGAATTTTAAAATATTTTATCAATCAGAATAAATTCACTTCCATCTAACTGGTATGATATAATTTTTTTTATGGATGGCATTCTCCAAGTAAAATTATTCACACTTCTAAATGTTTGGGTGCTGTGACCTCCTAAGAAAGAATCCACCATCTAATGGCAGAAACTAATGTGCTGCGGCTACCCTGTTGTAACATACGTTAATGACGAGTGCACACAGCTGGTACTGCTCCAGTGTGATGATCTCATGGTAGCACGGCTCCTGTGCCAGCTTCAGCATGGCACATCCCGCCGCCAGCCTCAAGCGGGACATATCCGACTTGCTGCATTGGTGGGCGATAGTCATAGGAAAGGGGTTAGGGGCGGTGAAAACAATTAGGGAACTTCAAACAAGCAAAATCAAACTGAATAATATTTAATATACTAGATGTTAATGACAATATATTTTTATTCACAGCCCTTTGTCAGTTCACCGCATGATTAAATCCTCTGCATTCCATGTCGGACGTGGACGTTTGGCAATACCTGATCACAGTGGTGAGTTGAAGGGGAATAGGTTGTGGGGGGGAGACACTAGGACCAGTTCAGTTATCACTCACACGTTAGCCATGACTGGTAATCAAACTTGGGTAGCCAGGTTCATCGGATTAGTGGTGCAGTAACCAGCGTTACTGCACCACTAATCCATCTCCCCATAAGATATCTATTCCACTTTTAGTTAGTATGACTTATCGCACACTATTGAGTCCAGTCCATCGTGAATGCGCACTGATCACACAGCAAGCTCTGTGGAATAACACTGTTTTAAATATGTTGCAAAACTGGCTCAGACTGAAGGATGGATCCCGAACATCTACCGATAACTGGTTCCAGGTCTTCGGGCCGGAGACTCCAAAACTGCGCTGGCCGTTTCGCACGAGGTTTTTCTCTTACCAGTTAAAATACGCTATCAATTCAATAATGTTTTACACACATCCACAATCTTCATTTAGAACCAGGTCAGAGCGCAATTAGATAAGCATTTCTTATGCAATGTATTTAACTGTCAAAAACTTTGATCCTTCCTCAGATATAACAAAGGATCATTTTCATTGTACAGCAACTCATAATTCCCTCTAAAATGCTGCACAATTTAAAGAGGCCGAGGCATTAAAAGGACTTTAAATATAAAATGCTTTCCGATCAAATCATAAACACACCTGATCTTGCCCTGCTCTGTGAGGTCTCCGTCGCTGTGTATGAGGGCTGACAGCAGCCGCAATGTGGACGTTCCCGACTTGCTTTGGTTGTTCCTCATGCCCAGAAGCCAGCGCACCATCAGCTTTATTGCCTGAATCTATACCAGAAGGAAAGTGCATATTCATCATGGTGGTAACTGAAAGTTGTAGTTTTTTTTTACATTTTCCATTCTCGTGAATTTGCTGTACTCGTCCATCAGCATTCATTATTCAGAAGTGCTTTTTCAAAGATGGAATTCTCCAAAAATAGCAACAGTATGCAACTAGGTCAGATACAGTTTTGAAAGGAGATGCCACAAAACCACTCCCACGTCTTTGTCAGTTATCACTATTACCAGCCAAAAGCTATACTCAATCTTGATTTGAAGCTTTCGTGACTGCAGGAATCCACACTCTTTCGTTCTTTCGGTAATGCTACGTAGATAGAAAAATAATAGATCACGAAGTTGCGATCGCAACACAAGCAATCGGCAGTTCTCCTGCTGTGTTTGTCGCACCTGTTGACGATTGCTTGCTTGTGTTGCGATCGAAACGTCCTGATCTATTATTTTTCTATCTACGTGACTTTACCGAAAGAACCAAAGAGTAAAGCTATACTCATTTGAATGGCCATTTTTACAAACACTTTAGAGAATGCCCTATTATTCATGCATGACGTACGTTTGGACACCCATAAAATGTACGAGAGAGACAAAGTATAACACTGAATAAAGCACTTGGTTGCCAATTAAATCATGCTGTGTGAATATAAAAAGCATAGTATATTGGCATTCCTTACATGAGTGATGGGAATCCAACACAATTCGACGTTGCGGTTGAATAACTTACTTTGGCATTCGTTTCAGGAGAAACCTCTTCATCTGGAGTCCAAAGCTTTGTCATCTTCTTCCCAGGAAACTACATTCACCAAAGGAATGTGCAATTAAAAGTCTACGTGGCAAAATATGACGAGACACCAAATGTACATCTTTAGCCAACAAATACGCATATTTGCATACACACACATCTAAACTCACGCGGTCGTTCATGAGCAGGTCCTTGACGATGAAGTTCGCCACCATGGCCTTCATGGGTCCGGCGAACTGTTCTGGAGCCAGCATGGCCATATGTCCGATGGACACCAGCGGTGTGGTCAACTGCTCCGGGTTGTTGGCATCCAGGCTCTTGCTTAGTGGCTGCATAATTTTTGGAGGCAAGGCACGTTTAAAAAAACACAAGTGGTTCAGCCACAAACACTCTAACCACATTCTTCCCTGCTATAGTAAAAACTGGCAAAAAACACTTAACAAACACTGCCTGAAAAATTAACAATTCACAGTTTGGTAACATGTCAGGTAATGGCCTCTCTTTCGAAACATATTTAGTTTCAATCTGGTGACTGTGTGCAATGACTATTGTGCGAGTATAAAACAATGTTATCTGCTCTTCATCAGTTAAAGTGCTTGTGGACAATTTCTTAGGCGCTAAATGTATCACCAAGGCTATAAATGTGTTGCCAATGTTTAAGTGGTCACCTCTGTATAGCGTGTTGCCAATTGGCAACTTTGGCGAAGAAAATGATTTGCAGAAAGAGAGTATTGGCTATCCTTTTACATACAGACAGTAACATATGGTTACAGCAGATTATGTTCCACAATAAAAAAAGGAGAATGACTCCAAAGTTTAAAGACACATAGCAATACATGTCACAACACAATGTTTACCCATTGCTGAAAGTTGCTTTCTTGTAAAGTGATGATATATGTGAAATTGAATGAGTTACACTGCATGCATTAATTTGTCTCATAAAAAAATCAATTTCTATAGAGATTCTGGCTATGATAACAACAGATTCTAAGGTAACTTCAGTTTAGGTTCTATCTGCATACTACACCAATTTGTAAGCAAAAGCTCGTATTTAATCATGTACCCCCCACCATCATAAGAAAATTTACATTTGATTTAATCTTGACTTAAAGCTTTCGTGACTGCAGGAAATCAAAATAATTGTAAAATAATATTTTATTTGAACCTATCTACGTGACTTTACCAAAAGACCCAAGAATATTTGATTTAATTTTTTACTTGAAGGTAAGCAAAACATATCTGATGGGAAGCTCTGCTGAATTTGCAGTCCAAGAGGGCATTAAGAGATTGTTGTCAATTTAACTTCTTCTCAGTCTTAATACCTCAAAAATCTGAGCGAACTGTGTATCTCGGTTGGAGAAGATGGTGAATATGCAGTGGATGGAGTGCTTGGCCTGCTGAGCGGTGCCCTTTTTCGCCTTCTGTTGCAGTACCGGGATGAGGGCTCTGACGGAGAGAGAGGGCGCAGGGCAAGGACGTCAGGCACTTCTTCCCAGCAGAGATTTCTCTCACCCCTATCCATGTCATGCACACCAGGTAATTTTACATGCAGTAGATGGGAAGATAGCAATCACTCAAGTGACTGTCTGACAAAGTGACTGACCATGAGGTGCCTATATATAGAGGCTACTTGTGCAAAGTTCAAGCGTTCTCCATTCTTATTTGGATTTTTTTCTAAATGTCTTGCTTTCCTGCTACATGCAAAAACACTTACAAAGGAATTGAGCAAACATTAAAATGAGTCCCTTAATGATTAAATCATGAATACTCCGCGGCCTTCTTGAATACATATTTAAAATTACGACAATTGTTAATTTATATTTGTTTACAAGACAACAATTATAATCCGCAAAACGCATTCTAAGAGGACTGTTTTGCCAGTGGCAAAATCCACAATTGAAGTAATTTATAACACAATGAAGCAGAACGAGAGAGCAGACACAGCAACAACCACTTCTACTTGCTAAACAGGTTTGCTCTGGAATCATTTTCACCTGCTCATTCTAAAGTTGTTTCAAGTGTCAGCGATTATCTGCACATAAATCCACATGTAGAGGGACTGCATGCTCAATATTTATTTTACAACCCTGTTTAGCCAATGAATCTCATTACCTTTCGAAATAGTGGTTACAAGCACTACTCTATCATTTTCCAGAAAGCAGCAGATGCCTTTGCCTACATACTTATAGAATAAAAAGCACTTACATTGCAGTCAAGAAGGTAACATTATCATAGCTCAGTATGACGAATGACCTCAAACTGATGCACTTGTCTTTTGGCCAAGTCACAATAACCTACTACAGAAAATAGCGACCGTAACTTTGACAATTGTTTACCAGTTCTGTGAAAAACAGATGAATCTGAATCGGACCTTACTCAATTATATATTTACTTTCAAATGCAGCAAATGGCCAATAGTTATGGATACAAGCAAAAGCTTTTAGGCCCTTGTTAATAAGAGCGGACTTTATTTATCCAGGAATGACTCTAGAAACAGTCAACACATATCAAGACAGCTCTGTATTGGGAGGTTCAACCAAATTCCTTGTTAAACAGAGTTTTGCTTGCAGGAAGAAATTTCAGAACTGCAGAGCAAATCCATGTAGAGACAACGCTTAAATGTCCACACAAATGAGAGTTCACATAACCAATTGCTATGACATCTCCTAGCCATCTTGCAACCCCAGCAGACTTGACTTTCACAAATACATACATTTTAATAAGACGTATGGTCAGTGTGGGGGCATAGGCCAAAACACCCTCTCAAGAGCGTCTTCTGGTACAGACCTTTCTGCCAGCAGACGCATGAGCAAGCAATGGCAGGAGATATTGAAATATTTATTTGAACTACCAACCCCTGCCTCACAGTGCTAGATTACAGGTCTGTGCCACCACGCCCAATGCTGAAACCCTAAGCGGGCCACACAGAGACAGCACTCACGAGCGAATCTGCGGGAAATCCGTTTCGATCTTGTGCCCTGTGTTACGGAAGATTTGCAGCGCCGCTTCAGACACCTTCTCGTCCTCCATCTTCAGGCAGTGAAGCAGCGACTCAAACGTCTCGGCCGAGTGGAAAACCGCCGGGTTAGTGAAGGACAGCACCTACAACAGACCAATGCCACCGTGGATGTCACAACTACCATTACCAACGTGACACCGACTTCCCAGTGTAATGTTAGTTTAACATTACAAACTTATTATAGGAATCCCCCGCTGTATGTAAGAGATGCGTTCCTCGGAAATTCGACTTAACTCAAAATTACTTAAAGCGAACTCTGAAGTTTCCCAGAGACATGTTAAAATTAGGGGTTGTTCCGAAAAAAAATGTGTGACTTATGTCATGAAGTGTACAAAATGCATGATCATAAGTTATAGGTTAACATACATTTTAACTCATAATAAATACACCAAATACTCTCCATTTAGTATTTGGTGATATGCGCTATGAGCGTACTGAACGCTATTATATCGAAAAAGTAAACTTTCACCACGTGCATTCCACGTAAAAAATTGCGAATTTTTTACTATTTTTTTTTAAGAGCACATATGCGAAAACATGTTCCTAATTAATCGCAATATTATGCGAAACAACCCATAATGCACCAATTTAAGCGGGGAATTCCTGTATTCTTCTGCAGGATATTGTTACAAGTTACTAAAGTTTATAACGCGTAGTTTATTTAAATTGGCTACCGACACTTCCTCAAATGCTGCCCACATTAACTCTAAAACTCCCAAGCCTATTAACAATAATAGACTAATACTGTACATAAAGTTGATAAGGCTTACTTTAAGACGTATTACTTTAACATAGCTTCACCTGCATTGCCGATCCAATGCAACTGTTTCAAAGAGGAAATCTGCGCACAAAACCAGTACCAAACACCAGACTCCATCTCCACACAAACCTTGAGGAGCTCCAATCCCGCACGGATGGCTGTGTCAGGATGAAATACCCTCATCCTCATCGTCGGCTGTCCCTTCAATGGACTTATTTATTTGTTTTATCAAGGCGCTGCAGACACACAAAAGGTAGTTGGCATTTTAAGACAAACTTACATGTAATTTTAACACAGCATATTGTCGAGGTTAATAACCACTCTTAAGTGGCTAAATGTAGCCCTGTCGATGGACCAATCGAGAAATAACTATAACGTCATCTACACTTTAACACCCTGCTATGCATACTTATCAGCAGGAAGTGATGTTACAGGAAGCGCTGTCACACTAAATTGTCATCACAAAGTGCTTCTCTTAGATTGTCAGGATACTTCGGTTGACAATCGCTTCAGCGTCGCCCTTTGTAGCTCTGTAATAATTACATGCTGCTGACCGAGTTTAACGCTCACTTGCCTACAGAGGAAACAGCAACCTACACGTGTGCGTAATAACGTACGCACATGGCACTTCCACGTACCTGACAGCCTCAGCATCGATGTGGACGGGCGCAATCCTCTCCAGCAGGAACTTCACCATCTCCAGGAAGGGGTTAGTGGGCTGCTTGGGGTTTGCGAGCTTCTTAGTGATTTCCCGCTAGAACACAGGAACCAAGCATTTTGCACATTAACGCCAGGACCTCCGTCGAACGGCTGGAAGTACTCAATGTTCAGGAGGGAACCTTATGGGAAACATTCATATATTTTTATCATTATTTAAACATGTTATAGAAGTATTGACAGAAAACAATGCATAAATAAAATAGCACCAGTGTGTTCGCTAAATCATACCCGAACATGTAATTGAAGTAAAACAGGTGTTAAGATGTTAAAACTCCAAACTGAAACCTTTTACAAAGAATCATGTCTGCATTAACCACAATACTTGTGGTCAGAATGCAAACAAAAAACATACTCTGATAATATATGCATCGTCTTTAAAACCGTTTGGTCCACACCAGAGAAAGCTGATTGGTCCACACCAGAGAAAGCTGTCACTGGTGTGGACCAATCAGTTTCAAAGACAATGCAAATATTATCAGAGTATGTATTTTGTTTGCATTCTGACCAAAAGTATTGTGGTTAATGCAGACATGATTCCTTGTAAGGTTTCAGTTTGGTGTTTTAACATCTTAACACCTGTTTTGTTGCCAGAAAAAAGGGGAAAACCTACTCTCATATTTTGGTACTGGCAAAGGAGGTCCCATGATGCAATTGAAACCTTGATACCGATTGGTTTATACTTTAAGTTGTTAAACCAACAAAAATGTACTTAATTTCACGACGAAATATTTCATTAACAATAAAAGACCATGCCATTGGACATTTTGCTACATAAGAAACATAGGCAGAAGCAAAATGAGACCGAAATCCAAGACTAGTTTCTGCATATGCACTTCCAATGTTCACCACGAGGTGGTAAAGTTAGAAATGAGCAGCCATAAAGGTGCAGTACTACAAGTGAACACATCAGCGCTCTGTTGCATGCCTCTGTTCCAAGTCTGCTGAAAAGCACGAGCCGCCTTAATTCACCCAGTTCACATTAACATTTCTTTACAGTTCTTGTCATTTAAAATAAACTTTCACCAAATGCAGTGTTGTCAAACCAGGCCAAAAAATTGTTAAGGAAATTAAAAAAGTGATTGACAGGTTCTTAATAAACAGGAGGCAATTAACCCATCACTCACCATCCTCTCAAGAGAAACTTTAATAAATTACTTGGGTTTTGAGTAGCAGACATTGAACAAAGACACCAAATATCCAATGGGAATTCTCAAGTTTTTTTTTTTACCAGCTATCAATGCGAAGTAAAAACTGTCTGAATATTATCATTTTAATTTAATGAATAAGTAACTCATTATTTGATTAATGTGAACATTTTCTTCCAGACATGAATGCGAGCTCATGTTTAATACTTACCACACACAGCTCAGCCTGCTTGCAAGAACATGCATTGTCCACCAGTACTTCCAACTGTCCAGAAATTCTCTCATCCTCCTCCAGCACTTGGTTGAACTTCTTCATAAAGTCCTGAGCCTTGCCCGGGTCTGGTAGGTGCTCTAAGGTGAAAAGGTCATTGTCCAACAGTCAGCTATTGTAACGATTAAATAAATGTCTGTCTATATCGAGTTCTTCCAGCTTGGTTAAAGTCTGTTTATATGTCTATGAACACTGGACAAAACATGATTGATGTTTTTTATACCTAATTATTATCATAAGTTTAAAATGGTGAGACTTCAAATGCGAATTTTATATTCATTACAATGCTCAATCACTTACTTGCAAGGATCATGACTTTGGAAAACATGACTTTGCTTGTTGCTTCCGACTAAAGAAAAACAAAAAAGGTTTTACAGTTACACTCCAGAGGCAGATGTCAAACTACTACAGAGGTCTGGACTGCAACTAGTACATACAGAGTAAGAGGCATGGGAAGCTTTTGGCTCGAATTCATTGGGGATACAACACTCAAATTATAGGAAAACTTACAGAATTTGTTTTTTTCTTCTTGGTTCTTTCGGTAAAGTCACGTAGAAGGGAAATAATAAAAGAATAAAAATACAACAGAATAAAAAATGTTTTCCATCATATTTTGTTTTATTTTTATTATTTTATTATTTCCCTTCTACGTGACTTTACCGAAGGAACCAAGAAGATGAATCCCTGCAGTCACGAAAGCTTTAAATCATAATTTTTTTTTTAATGCATTTCCCACATACACGCTGTGGCACCTTAATGATTCACATGATTGTAAACGCCTGCAAGACATATTGTGGAATGCAGAGGGCGTGCTCACCGGTGGCTGTTTGTGCAATTCCAGGAGGTCTCTGACGTGGTTCCTAAGCATCGTCTGACACTTCCACATTTCATTGAGAGCTCTGGCAAAAACACGTAAAATATAGCAGTAAGAATACAAGGATGAACGATTTCACCTTTAATATCTAATGAAATCAACGTACAATTAAAAATATGAGTTTATATTGAAAACCATTATGCGTGTGTTGAGGGGCAGAGTGGTGGTACAGTGGGTAGAGTACTGTGCTGTGAACTTGGCGAGCAGAGTTTCATTCCCAGCCAAAGCTAACATCAGTGGCAAGTAATGTCAAAATCTGTCCTGCCCTCTCCAATACATCAACCCGCACTTACCAGCGTGAAGAATAGTAATAAAAACCACTCAAAAGAGCGACATGTGGCGTGCGAAAACCTTAACCCATGGGTGGATTGAGGATGGCTGGAACTTGTTTACATTTTCTATGAGGTGACAATGTATACAGTGAATTTCGTACTTCACTGCATTGGGATCCAAAGTGGCATAGAGGTAGTAGAGACACTTCATTCTCTCTTCCGTTTCAAGATTATGAGGCACGAGGTATTGTGCGAAGATCCTCTCGACCAGCAGTCTGAAAGAACAATCAATGATGCAGGTGTAGAAATAATAGTTCTTATAGCACAAATAAGTGCATGCCTACATTTTTATCACAAGTAAAATTTAAAAATGGCATGTTCAGCAACAAAGTTCCCGTATGAACTATATCCTGATAGTTATGTAGGTATAGCATTATTGGTAACTACTAGCGAGATATACATTGCTGATTCTTATTGTGGTGCCCAAATGTGGGTATAAATTAAGTGTACATAAGTAACATTATTCATAATACACTTGGCATTCCAGTGAAACAACTGCCAAACTCATATAGCAGTACATAAAAGGTATAATGTAAGCAGAGTATATCTATTTACATATGTGCAGCCCATTTGTCAAATCAGATGTTGGATGAGGGGCCTCCCTAAGCCAATACGGGTTAGTGGAGATAATTTGACCATACTTTACCGTGCTGGTCAGCACGAGTTGTAGAGGTAAGGGGACAAAGGTGTGCTAGCAGTCGACGAGTGGGGTTCATATTCTATGGCTCTTTCGGTAAAGTCACATACATAGAAAAAATTACAATAAAATAATAAAAATAAAGCGAATAAAAAATAATAATAAATATCGTCATCAGCCCCTTGTTCCTGATGACGACCGCTTGTGTTGCGATCGAAACGTGATATTTTTTATTCACTTCAGTTTAATTTTAATTATTTGATTATTTTTTCTATCTACGTTACTTTACCGAAAGAACCATAGAATATGAATTCCTGCAGTCACGAAACATTTTTTGTTTGTTTCAAATTGCTTTACTTTCATTGTTTTTTGACTGCCTAATTCAAGCAGTGTCAAGGCTCAACCCCTGCTTAGCTTCAAAGATCTAACGAGACCGGGGCGTATCCTGTGTCATTTCATCACGGGGCAATATTTATATACATTACAAAGCCTAAATAAGGCATCCCACCAAAGCACGTGCATTAGAATCCCACTGGGTGGATAAATAAGGCACAGGAGGGGATTATGAGGCTCACTTGTCATCAATGCTGTTCTGGTAGTAGATATGGAGCAGCTTATCCTTGATCCAGTCAATCTGAGCGGCCGATTCCTTGCCGGCTTCCGCGTGCAGACTGTACTTCTTGTAGATTAGAGCCAGGCCCATCATTGCCTCCCGACGAACTCTCCACTACGGTGCACACACCATATCACATTTTCAGTTAGTTGCAGAGCCCCAAACAAAACCAATTTATATCATCGTTCTTTAGCAACAGCAATGTTTAGCATCGGTCAAAAGTAAAGTTGCGTGTTTACTACATTCAGTATATTGTCAAGAACAAGAAAAGCATGCACTCTCTTTGGGCTTTTCTATAGCATTGCTTTAGTGTCCCTCGTTAAAATAATACTCTTTGTCCATCTTAGTCTGTCTAGATCTATTCCATTTTCCATATACTTTACCAATGATCAGGTTTCTCCAGGGGTTTCCCCCCCATCACACACATCTGTGTGTCCAAAACAATTCAGTATCTGTCTTTCTATTATGATGTAGAGTACAGCTTTTTCACCAATCTCATGCACATCTACACTGAAATGTCACAAAATGTCCATCTGGGCAAAGCGAGGTTTTTACCCACGTATATTTTTATGTGCATAAAATAAAATGAAAACTGGTGTAAGACAATGCAATGCTACATTATTTGAATGATCAAAAACAGAAACAATTTTATTTATTTTTATCTGACCAGGTAAGACCCACTGAGCTATATAGGGAGAACATGTAAACTCTCAATACAAAGGCGTCAAGGTCAGGATGGAACCCACGACCTTCTATATACCAGGCGAGGTAGTTAACATCTCGCCACCGTGGCATGCTCTGTATTATAACAGCAGATGTCTGCTCATGAGCGAGGCGGGCAATGTAGTGATGACTGGGCAGCATACACACCCGCTTATCCAGCATGCGCTCCCGCACGTAGCCCAGCAGCTGGTCGTTAACCAGAGACAGGTCCTTCTTTGAAGCAGTGACGATGGAAACTATGACGTCATGCCTGATTGCTTCCTCGGGGTCGTGCGAACGCACCTTTAATATCTCTGCAAAAAAGAGATGCATTCATAAAATGAAATTCTCTCGCATAACAGAATCCCAAAATTACTTTTTTTTACTATAACGAGCCTTGTAATGTAGCTGATGTGATTAAACAATGTGAAACACAGCCAATTATGTCATTTATATTAATATAATTATAAAAACGCTAAATAGATATAAATTACCCAAGTATTATTTTAACAGAGTGTGAAGTAATTCTAATTAAAATAATCAGCTGAGATCTGTTATCATTCATCCAATCTTCAATGCTAATCATTATTTAAGTAAGATAATAAAGTATATTGCATGATGTTGTCTTTGAGTATTTGGGTATGACCATTATACCACATGATCTTGGTAAGCATCAATCATGCCAAAAGGCAGAGGTGAAATCATCACTACTCAAGTAGTGAATGACAATTGTACTGTGTTCTCAGTTTAACACGTAGGCTTTCACGACCAATATTATCCATAACAGAGGTTTTTGGGTTAGATCGCGTAAATATAAATGTGTCGATAAAGCTGGCACCACTCAACACAGCTAATTAGCAAGGTTTGTCAGGGAAACAAAACGTGGCAATATGTTATTCGTTCAGCACACCGGTGTGTTGGAGAGTAAACCCACAACATTTACAATTCGAGTATGACGTTTCACCAATAATTACAAACAGCATCATCAGGCGACATCCAGAGTTGTGGACAAATCCTCCTGTTTCGGTCTTAAATAGAGGGATAAATGTGACGTCGTCACATGTACCGTGTTGTGTATGTATGGTAGCTGTAATAATACTGTTCTCTTACCAGTCAAGTCTTTTGTCAGATCTGGGTGGTTCATCAGGCAGTGGCTGGCAAATTTAACGCATTCCAACCTCACTGGCACATGGATGTCATTAAACCTAAATACAAAGATGACATTTAGCAGAATTAATAATAGCAACAGGATACAAGGCTTGTAATCTTTCCGCAGTGGTATGGAAAACTGTGAACTGGATGATAGCACCACAGCTTCTAAAACCATTTAAGTGTCAATACAAATGATGCCTTATCCCCTGTGTAAACCTAGATTATTGTGTAGAATGCTTTAAAAAATCCAGCAGCTTTATGTTAGGGGTGCGCCAACCGTATAAACAAACGGCTATCTTTTGAAATAAAGTTTTTATACCGTCCTAAAAAGCACTGCCAAAGTGCCTTGTTTTGTGCTGCCAGTTCAGAGTCTTTTGCTCCAAACATCTTAGCCAGCAGTTTTACCACAGCCAGTCGTTCTTCATTATCATTGCTCTGTGGAGAATGAAAAAAAACCCACCAAAAACAAATTAAACAATGCAGCCTAGACTTTATGAGTTCATTTACCAACTTTTAAGTTTCTTATTACCACATTAACTACACAGTCTGCACACCTTAATGTTGCATTATTACGTTGTTTGTGGGGGGCATGTAGTTTAACGACGGGCATATATACTTCATCAAGTCTATTTTAATAAACCACAGCCTCAATTTACAACACACACAACATGCCTACAGCTCGATCTCAGCAGCTAAACGAGGTTAGGCCATGGATTCTTGAATCTTTCTGTACAGAGTTTTAAGTGTTACCTCATCGCATACGTGAGTTTTCTCCAGGCACTGTGGTTCCCTCCCCCCTACGCTTAACACTTATGCATGAAATTTGCCAAACATTGAAATACAGAACCCTCCTGCAAAAAGCCAACACTCATTGAGGCTTTCCTGGACAAAGCAAGGTGCATTATAATGATTAAATGTAGCGAGCTTTGCGACGCAGAATAATAAAGCAGTTTAGAAATTAACGTTCAGTGTTCCCGCCGCTGTCAGCGGTGAGATTAATCATTTGCTCACCTTGAGCTTAAATTCCAGCTGTGGCAAGACGGAAAGCAGCAGGTGAGCGTCAATGTTGTAGAGTTCGAGGATGAGGTCAAACAAGTGTTCTGACAAATCACTCACGGACGTCTTACCCAACATGAGCACCTGGTTGAAGAACTGCAAAAGAAACCGGGCAAGGGGAAGAATTAGGGAGACAAAAAATCTTACGCAATGTCCAATGAGGTCATTTTCTTGAGCTAATAAGTTTGGTCAAGTGCAATGAGGCCCAATGTGTAATGTTGGTTAGGCACTATGTATACATCAGTTGTAATGCAAGAGCAGAAATCATTTCGAAATTACTCGTGTTTCCAAAAGTGAACAAAGATTAAACATCTCTCATGTCGCAAAAAATGTCGTAACTTACATTCGTTATATAAGGCTCAATACTCTGTGCGGTCCTTTTCAAAAGCGCCTTTGACAATTCATATGCTTGCTTGTTCAAATTCTGTAAAATAGAAATATATTACACAATGGTATTCACAGGAAAATATTTTAAAACCTTTAGCATCGCATATTTGCTCGAGTCCGTAACTCCACTGATAAGGTGCTAACTGTTAAGACGTGAAACCAATTATGTTCAACATGCATACATAACAGGGAGATTAGTGCAATTATTTACATGCACAAACATTTTTTTATTACTCAATAAGCATAATTGTAAACAAAAATGCATTTTACCACACACTAGTAATTTGAATATTACAATTTGAATATTTTACAATCGCTCCTATTATAGAGATACATTATATATACACACAAACACACCGTCTATAGAGATATAAACACAAGGAAAATATTTCAAACTGAAATTACCCCACCAATCAGCACACATAAAAACAAACATATACCATCAACATATTTAATTAATTCTAACATTCAGCTTTAGTACCACCCACCATTAGCATTCTCAATAACATTATCAAATCTGACCCAGTGACTGAACCAACTCATCGGTGGGTATTTAGTGAATGGGTGGAGCACAGAAGTGAGTGCATTAAGAGGGTGCATTAATGAGCAATAGCAATATTGATGTAATCACTGCATGGACAATCAACTTTGAAAACTCAACGCGCCCTTCACCACACATTATAACCCGCACATCATTGAACATTCAGCTTCCACCCACTGACCCAGTGACATAAGAAACCCCGTCAGCAGGTATTCAGAGATGGGAGTGGTGGCGGAGCGCAGAAGAGGGGTAACATATGGGACAGCGACGGACCTTGTGCGATGGCACGAGGTTAACCAGGATGGCGTCGAGCAGTTCCTGGGAGACGCTGTCTCCCTCTGTGATGATCGAGCTCATCAGGTCCAACATGTGCATGTGCACCTTCTGGTTGTGTCCATTACTGTAATCATATACACAATAAAAAAAAGATTTAAAGCAAATTATAATATTTAAAAAACTATTATGAGTCACCAGTCTGAAGTTTCATATCCATGACCAGTGGGTAAGTCGGCCTGTTGGCAAGAGAGCATTAGCCCAGAATCACGTGGATCACCACCATCAAGAAATTCCTGATGCCATAAAATGGATAAAACTCAACTTAGTTTTCATGTTCAGTCAGTTCATTTTAATTGCCATGTAAAAGGAAAGACACCAGGGCTTGAGTTGACATACCCACGTTCCTAGACCAATGGACGAGTAATAACTCTTCACCGACCCCTCACCACTTCCCCAGTGATTCGGTGAAGTCAGTCACAAATTATGTAGCATTTCAATGTTTTTTTCCAAAACAGTCTCGTTTTTGCCACCTTGTTTGAATCGCTCGTTTTGACGTCTCATTTGTACATTTTTGTCTCCTCAATTGGTGTAAATGTAACCCATTATCTGTATAATTGGTAAATAACCCACTCTTAATGCACAATTGTATGGATGCATCATGAGCATAACCATCAGAATTGACTAAACAATCGATGCATTATTAACATCCCTGATAAGCTATGAAGGTCCGTGGACTGGGCCACTCCTGCTCCATTCACCCCCCAAACCCCACCCCCTCCCTACCCTCTACAGCCAGGGTTGGGGGGGGGGTCAGGGAATGATCTTCAAAGAACAACAGTGTTTAACATGGTCATGGATTAGGCTAGACCAGGGTTCTTAAAACGGACAGCCTGGGGCCAAATGGGGCCCACAAAAGCTCTTTCGAGGAGGGGCCTCGCTACCGAGAAGTATGGCTTGCCAAGAAAAACGGCTCACCGAGACACTGAGGGAGACAGATTAGTGAGATGAGAGAGAGTGATGGACGAGAAGAGATAGGACAGTAGAGAACTGTAAAGAAGAGATGAATCAAGATTGGTGAGATGGCAGTGAGATAAACAGGAGAAAGATGAGGCAGTAACAAGAGGTACAGATTATCCGTGAACGTTATGATATCATGTGATGTCATAGCACCAGTACATATGATATCATATCTTAGGGTCTGCCAGTACAAGCTAGTTACGTCATTTGACGGAAAATGTTGTTGAAAACCCCTGGGTTAAGCCTATTGAATGTTATATTTTAGTTTTTTTTGCCATGGGACATAAGTTTCATTAAACCATTTTTATTTTACACTATGGGGACCTCATTTGCCAGTAAAAATATGATAATTGGTTCTTTACCCTTCTATCTGGCAACAAAACTGACACCTCTATGCAAACATGACTCCTTGCAAAAAGGTGTCAGTTTTGTTGCCAGATAGAAGGGTAAAGAACCAATTATCATTTTTATTTTATTAGGTAAGGCCCACTTGAACTATATAGTTATTTTTCAGAAGCGACCTGGCCACAAATGATAGCTCAACGAAGTGGCTTATCACGTGGAAATTTATAGCAGCCAAATACTCTAAATTTATGTTTCTAAATATGGAGGGAAGAACTGGAGAACCTGGAGAAAAATCCACACGACCACAGGGAGAACATGCAAACCCCAAAAATACAGGCGTCAGGGCCGGGATCGAACCCACAACCTCCTCCATACCAGGTGAGGGAGTTAACATCTCACCACCGTGGTGCCCCCATCACTAGATTAATCAATCTAGTGACATCACAGTCTGAACATCTAACTTCTGCATTTACCAAGCGATAATTGGGCAGTTCCAAATAAGGCAACTTTAGTGAATTTTCAAAATCCTCCTCAGAATACACAAGGGGTATCAATCTGAAGGCAACTCTCAAAGTTTTAAAACAGATCACTGATTAAATAAGCCCATGTTTTAACCCACGCACAAAATAAGTTTAACATACATACACTGTATGTATGCAAGAGCATTTGTCTCTTACAGAGGTAGACGCAATATTGTATATCTGAATCTGTCCTAATTGGTTGTATACTATGCCAGGGGTGGCCAATCATGGCTTCCAAGTCAAATACTATTCCGGCACAGTTCAAGTGCAGCTCGATAGACAGGTTTGTCCCTTTCACATACTACAAAAAGAAATGCTGAATTCTTGAAGTGTGAAAAACTTGATTTGAAGCTTTCGTGACTGCAGGAATTACTCTTTGGTCCTTTCGGTAAAGTCACATAGAAAGAAAATAAATTAAATAATAGAATACGACGTTTCGATTGTGTCTCTCTGTGTGTCTCTGTGTCTCTCTGTGTCTCCGTGTCTGAGTTTTGTCTCTCTCTCAAATTTAGTTCTACCTGATGACGACTGCTTGTGTTGCAATCGAAACATCGTATTCTATTATTTCATTTATTTTATTTCTATGTGACTTTACCGAAAGAACCAAAGAGTCTTGAAGTGTGCTTAACACAAAGGCTTTCGCGACCAATATTATTCATAATCAAGGTTTTTGGGTTAGGTCTCATAAGTATAAATGTGTCGTAACCCTCCACCACCTAACACAGCCAGTAAGGTTTGTGACGTAAACACATCACGCCAATTAGTTACTACTTCAGCCCACCAGTGTATTGGACAGTAAATGCACAATATTTACAATTTGAGTACGACGTTTCTCTGGCAATTACATCCAGCATCATCAGGCGATTTGCCAGAAAAGTGTGACATCTGAAATGTCTTCATCTTCATCTGAGATAGCAGCCCTGGGCTATATGCAATTATTTGTATTCCTCCACTCACATGAAGATGCATATACCGGTAGTTATAATTAAATATCTCCCACCAATCATAAACCTCCTCTTTGCTAATTCATGCTATTTCTTGTGATGAAATCTTCAATAATTTATGTGTTGTGTTCCTGACTTCAATGCCAAATTTTTTGCAGTTCTGTTCATTCAATCTTCAGTCTCGCATCTCCATCTGTTTTCATAACTGTTCTCAACATGTGTTTGTGGTTTTCAAACTATTTGCTGTTCATTAGCTTTCTAACCTTTCCTCCACTTTCAATGCACTATTCTTTGATATGCTAATAAATGTATTATATAAAACGGTTACATCAAATTTATCAAAATGATCATCTAGGTATAGGTTTTGAGTTAACGTATATTTATCTCCCTGCTGACCTAGACTTTTTATGTTTACTATCTTAGTTTTGACTGCAATGAACGTTTCCCTCTCTCGACAGAGACATCTGACAATCTGGGGGTTATCAAGTCAAATCTCGTTCTAAATTCACCCTTTGAGCTTCGTAATTTTAAAAAAGTATTCATTATTTTCATATTTTTGCTGGCTGCAAACTCCTAGTAGATGCTTATCTGTCCCCTTGCTCTCCAATGCCAAACTTACCAATAATTTTATCATCTCTGCATCGTTTATCTAATTTTCCATTAATATCACCCATTACGATGTTGTAATGTACTCTACTCTCATTTAATGGTTTGGTAATTTTCTTATATATATTGGTCTACATCTTCATCATGTTCATAATAAAGATTGTTGGGTTAGATCGTGACGTTATAAGTGTCGTAAACCCACCTCCACCCGACAGCCAATTCGTAAGTTTTGTCACGTAAACAAATTGTGCCAAAGAGTTACAGGTTCAGCACACCGGTGTGTTGGAGAGAAAACCCACAAAATGTACAATTTGAGAATGTTTCGCTGATGATTATAACATCACTGTAGCATCAGGTGTAACTGCTCCAGCGTCTACTGGAGCAGTTACACCTGATGACGGAGGCGTGTGTTGCTTCCGAAACGTCGTGATTTAATTTAGTTATTTTCATTTATTATTTTTTTTTATTTTACCCACGTGACTTTACCGAAAAAACCTAAGAGTATGAATCCTTGCAGTCACGAAAGCTTCAAATCTAGGATTATAACATCATCAGGCGATAGCCATAATTTGTCAAGTATTCCTGTTTCCGATCTTAAATGGAGTGACGTGATGTCATCACTGTGCGCCTATAAGTGTGCGATCTGTTTACTCGATATAACTAAAACACCTTTATGAATATTGGTTACGAAAGCCTCCGTGTTTAAATTCGTCATGGTTTATTGCTACAGCTTATACTAGAAAGATCTATCATATTTAGTATTTTGAGAGCCTGAGTGTAAGCTGGGAAACTTTATCTGATTAACTATCGAACTATAACACGTCTGATTCTTCAAGAGACGATTAAGCTTCTGTTATAACTATGAGCTCTCATTCTATGATAAAAGAGGTTGTCACCCTTTAGAAGTACAATGTCTTGAGTTATTCCCTCTCCTTATCACCTCACTGATGCCAACTCCATCTAAGTTTATTTATCTCAATTCTGTCTCCATTACAACTTTTGAATCTTCAGACAAAGTTCACACATGGTGATGATCCAATGATGAGGCCCCCCTTTTCTTAGCAAGTGATTCATAACGTCGCTTGCACCTATACCAACCCGCAATTTATCATGGATGGTGAATTCAGAGTTCAGAATCAGAATATTTATACTGGAGGAATCCGATAAGCTATAAAGCATTTCACAGACGTCCAATACAAAAACATACTAGTGCAAAGTACAAGAAGGTAAACAAATCATCCAAAAACATACCAAATGAAACTAAACCATCCCCATCCTACCAGGCAAAGCCCACTGAGAGGTATTAACTTCTTTTTCAGACGTAACCTGGCCACAAATGATAGCTCAAGAAAGTGGGTTATCATTTGGACATTTACAGCAAAAAAATAATCTAAATAATCTAAATAGATGCTTCTAAATCTAGAGGGGAAAACCGGAGGACCCGGAAAAAAATTCCACGCGACCACGGGGAGAACATGCAAACTCAAAATATACAGGCGACGGAGTTGGGATCGAACCCCCGACCTCCGGCATACTGGGTTTTAGCCTGGAAGATATGCAAAGCCACAACTTTGTGGAACGGCCCCCACTGGGCTCAAGGGTCAATTCGGACAAAAGCATGCAACAGTTTTACCTACATTACTGGGGGATAGGGTGTCGAGAATGGTTTGCCTGAAGATGCGTGAGGGGCC